TATTCAACAGATGAGCACGTCATATGTGCCAAGTACTCTGATCCGTGTAATAAGAGCATTTAAAAAATAAAACTTAGCAAGATGTGGTCTTACCCCCACTAACAGCCTGCAGTTTGGTCTTAGATTTCTTTGTGTGTCTCCTCCCTATCTGACCTTATGAGAAGACTTGGTAAATGTTTGCGATATGTGCTAGTTAACTTTCCACCACTAGAACAAAATTCCTGAAGTAATTGACTTATAAAGAGAAAAGGGTTGTTTGGGGAGCCTCCAGTCTATAATTGGTGGGGCAACATCATGGCAGGGCAGGTGGAAGAGGAAAACTACTCTCAAGAAAGAGAGTGAGAGGGGGTCAGGGTCCCCCAGTCTCCTTTGAGGACATGCTGCCAATGGCGCTACCTCTTAATGGTTCTACCATCTCCCAGTAGCACCATCCTGGGAACAAAGCCTTTAATACATGATCCTTTGGAGGACCCATAGCCAAGCCATAGTGGAGTGAGTAAGAACCCACATTTTACTTCTCTCCTCACACAGGCATATGCACCCCATCACACTAAACCTTTCCTGGCCCTTGGGCACCTAAACCCTACACCTCTGATCTTTCCCTCACTCAGTCTATCAACACCTTTCCTGCCTTCCTAACAAACTGCGGCTTTTTATTCTCCCAGACCCAGTTGTAAACCACCTCATGAATAGAGGTACCTGGTTGGCTGGGCTCCCCCAGCAACTCATTTCTATTCTGTGACAGTCATCACCGTGGGGCACTGCACTCTTCTGTCTAATCCTCTCTGCCTCCGCTGAACTGTAAGCACCTTGAAGGCTGGACTTCAGCAATCTTTCTATCCCCAGTGACTCCTGCAGTGCCTGGCACAGAGCCAACCTCTGTTCAGAATTGTCCATAACCATGCAGCTGTCTGTGTGCATCACAGCCTCTCCCTCGCTTGGTATACTCTTGCAGTATTTCTTGCCACTACATCCCAACACATATCCACTGTTCTAGGTGTATGTTCCATAGACCTTCATCCTCATTCTGGCTCACTCCATGTGCTCTGCTTCCAAGGAGTCTCTCCTCTCCAAATCATACTCTCCTTCCAAGCCTGTCTCAAGCCCTGCCTCCACTTCCACCCCATGCTGAGCTTCCTGATCACATGAGTCTTCCCTATTCTCTCTTTAGTTGGCCACCCATGCAGATCTTCTCAAAACCACCTTCTGTTACTAGCTATACGCTATGCTCTGACTTTCATGCTGAATTTGGAATAGTAATCTTCCCATATGGCAGTGTCTCTGGGAAGCAAATGATTCCTCAGTGGAGCAGACTGTCTGGGGTCAAATTCTAGCTCTATTGCTCATTATATTCATTGAATTTGGTAAAGTTTACCTAACCTTAACCATATCTCAGTTTCCTCACCTGTACAACAGGAATGAAATGGGACCTATATAGAGTTCTTGTAGAAACTTAATGGATTAATTCACAGAAAGAGCTAAGCATTGTGCACATAGTAGTTGACCAATGTGTTTGATATTATTACCATCATTGCTATAATTGTTACTGTTATGATTGCTTGGTGTGTTCTGATTTCATTCCCACCAAGCAAACTGTTGATTATCATTTGGCTTTCCTACAAAAAGAGGTCCCACCTGAGATCAATTAGCAATCTGCATATTAAATATGTTTCTCATTGTGAATTAATTACTTGACCTTCTATATTCTATCATTCTTTTATAAGTTGGACTAGAGTAAATCAATGCATCAGTCCAGTTCATCCCTACATATAATAGCAATCAAATTTACAAAATCAAAGTCCTTGATCTTGGTGACCACACCAAGCTATCACCAACTTGGGGCTCTGTCTGCAGAGTCAGCAAGGTATCATGGGTCATATGCCCTTTTGGTTCATTGTTTTACTTCTTTAAGTAAGTTACTTAAAATCTCCAAGCTTTGTTTCCTCAGCCATAAAATAGGCAAGATGGATGCATCAAAAAACCTGTGTTAAACAGGTGCCTGAAAGGATTGGATGGGAAAATGAGTGGGAAGCTCTTGAACATGGCCTTGCACCGATAGATGCTCACTAATGGTTAACTGCAAGAGCTATTATATACTATTTTACCACCCCATACTCTTTTCATGCTTACTACAATTTAAACAATACTTTACATTTTCAAGGGCTTAGTAAATAAATATTATCTACTTCTCATGTCAACCACTCCCACCTAACAGAGAAAGAAACTTGGGAATAAACTAAGTTACTTCCTTGAACAGTGGTTTCCAGAGAATGGGAGTGCAGTTGGGGAATGAGGTCAGGTAAAAAGTTTCAGTTAGACAGCATTCATAAGTTCTGGAGCTCTATTGTGCAGCAAGGTGACTGTACTTAATAATGTATTGTATCCTTGAAAAATAGCTGAGAATAGATCTTAAATGTTCTACATGCACACACACACACACACACGCACACGCACATGTGTGCACACACACACGCACATACATACATACACAAAACTATATAAGGTGGTAGTCATGTTAATTAGTTTGATTTATGGTCATCATTTCACAGTGTATACATTATATCAAAACATCATATTGTGCACCATAAATATATACAATTTTTATTTGTCAATTATACTTCAATTAGGCTAAAATAAAAAAATAAAGTCACTTTCTTAAGATCACATGGTATGTAAGTTACAAAGCAAGGATTTAAATGAGGGTTCTCCAAGAATCTAGTAATGAGCAACAACAATTAGAACTTTGGTGTCTTATTTAATTAGACTTTAAAATTATTTTGAAATTTTGGCATTACTCTAGAGTCCTCTCCATGTCCTTCCATCGGTGGCTTTATTGGTCATACAAATAAGCTGCCAGAGGTTTTGAAGCCCTGGATCAAAAAACTAACCCACTTCCTCTATGACTGCCCATTAAGGGCCAAGAGTCCGAGTACTGACAGAGTTTTCCACGTCCTTTGGGCCTTTTTGCTGGAGATGACCCATCACTGTGGCATCTCCAAGGAGCAGCAAGTATTAGGACAGACCAGCATAGAACCCAAGGTAGCAAAGGACGCTTCCCTTTGTTGTGATGGATGTCTGTCCATTCTTAGGTTATCAGGCAAGTTCACAAGTCACAGAAGCTTGGGGGAAAAAACACATTTTCTTCACAGTCACAGATCTGGCTGACTGCTGTGCTGTAGAGCACCTCAAACCATCCTGTTACCTTTCTGAAAAGTCCTCACCTCTGTTTCCCCACACAACAAGGTGGGGAGCTAGAAGTCTGGAAGGCAGAAGCCCTCAGGCAAGGTGAACTGCGCCACTTCTCCCTGCACCAGCAAGCTATGCACATGCCCAGGTTCATGGACAGCTTTGCTATATTTTTACTTAGGAATTAGGCAATTCAAATGCCTTCGAATCTTAAACCAAATTTACCACCATCCCCATACCTCACCATCTCCCTTTCCCCAACGAAAATATTCAAATTTCCTCACATTCAACAATGACACCACCAATTCTCAAAGTCTCCCAGACTCAAGACCCTGCAGTGGTTCTTCAGATTCCTTCATCATAATTCTCCAAATTCATGATATCGGTATCAGGAGTAGGTATTGGCTGGGTACTAAGCATAGTCTTCGGTCATAGCCCTTCTTATGTCTGATTTGGAAATCTGTGGTGGTTCCCAGACCCCCCAGGGATAGAGTCCTCCTTTATCAATTCTAAATCAGGGATCTGTTAGTCAACTTTCTGTCACTGTAACAAGATACATGACATGATTAAATTATTCCGGGAAAAGTTTCATTCTGACTCGTGGTTTTAGAGGTTCCAGTCCAGAGTTGGGCAGACCCATTGCTTTGGGAGCTTTTAGTAGGACTTTTCATGAGGCCCTGACTCCAAAAAGTGACGCCACTTGCCATTAGAGCCACCTTAGGACGAGGCCTTTACACAGGACCTCTGGGGGACATTCAATACCCAAACTGTAGCATGAGCTGCTTCTTGTTACCAGATTCATTTTTGGTGACAGGAATTCAATCCAGGTTCTCACACTGACTAGACCAGGGCTCTCCCACTGAGCTATACCCTAAGCCTCATGTTCTGATCTTAAATTAGATAAGAGTTCACAGGTGTTTGTTTTGTTGTTGATACCTTCTATTTGCATATAAATACATTTGAATAAATGAAATACTTCATTATGAGATTTTAAATGTTAGAAAGGGTCTACAGTGGCCTCATATGGCCCCATCAAGTTTAGACTCACCAGTTTGTCATTTAAAGCCCTCCCCCAATCATCCAGTTTTTCTGTCACTAATATACAATACGGTTCCCTCTTCTGTTGGGTATTTCCTATTGCCATCCCTCGGCTCTGCATTGCCACTACTAAACTCACATTTCCAAGATTTTGTACATTCTGACCCCACATCTTTCCCTGTATCTACAGTGCAATCACTATTGTCCTGAAAGAACATAAATAAAACATGGTCTCCCACATGAAGGTTGCTGGAGTTTACTCCAGGACACAGGTATGACTCCGTGGTAGACGTACTTCTAGGTCTAGTGAACTCAGTCTGCCAAACACACTTGGTGCTCAATGTGGAAAGAAGTCTTATCTCAAAAGTAACCAGTGAGATCCTCAAGAGCAAAGAGAGTCTAATGCATCTTTTAATTTCTTGCTACCTCTTAGCCAGCACTGAAATTATAAAATGTCAACCAGCATCCCCACTAAAGAATGGATGGCATGAGATCAATTCTTAATTCTGATGGAACAGACAGAATCATCCAAACCTTTCTGTCCTTAATTCCTGGGTCCTTTCCCACTTTTCTGCTTAAGCCTGCTCAAATTGATCTCTGTTATTTTTTTTATCCAAACAATATTCATTAAGAAATGTGTGTCCCACCTCATGAAAACAGAAGGGAGACCAGCAGAGTTGAGGAAGGAGCTCAGGAGGAAGGAGGAAAAGAGGAGGTACTAGGGGACGAAGTTGATCAAATTATATTATGTGCCTGTACAAATATGACATGGTGGATTCCAGCATTATGTGTAATTTATAATGCACCAATTAAAAATTACTTAATTAGTTAAAAAGAACGCATGTTCTAGACTCAAGGCAACTCAAGTTCATACCTCAATAAAAATTACAAACCATCATACCAGGGACCTTTAAAATTGTTCAAAAACAATAATTTGTGAATGCCAAAGTGATACTGAATTAAATTAGGTGCTCGAGAGCCATAGGTATTTCTCCATGGTCCAAACGTGAACCTCAGTCTCCTGACACTTAATCCAGTGTTGTTCTCATGCTCCTTGGTTTTGTTTTATAGAGGTTATAAGGTTATTTTTCTTCTGAATCTTCATGTAGAAGTTCTTAATAGATGGAATAGACACACAACAGATTTGGCAGAGGACGAAGACACCAAACCTGTAGAAACTGAAAGAAAGAGGTGAGTGTGAGTCTGAGGTGGAAGAAAAATCTGGAATGTTCTCATCATGTTCTAATCCAAGAAGAAAAATGAGAATCGCCCCTCTGTTAATTCTAGATGCTCTCTTAGTCCTAATGACCAGATTATCCAGTAACTAATACCTTTGCCAATAGATAGCTGGAAACTATAGAATGTTCATTCACTCGTTAAGCAAATATTTGTTGAATGTCTAGTTTGTGCCATGCCTTGTCCTTGGCACTAGGGGCATAGCAATGAACAAAACATAAAATCCTTATCCGTAGAGGGTTTCTCCTCTGGTGAGGGGAGACTTGACAATGAAGCAAATAGGTCACATAGGTTTTATAGCCAACATTAATCCATGCTGCACTGAAGAACATAGAGGAAAGGACAGCAGTAGTGTCGGGAGGTCAGGATGAACAGAGAAAGCTTCCCTGAGAACGCCACAGGCGGGCACCAGCACCTGGAGAATGAAAGCAGGAATGTGGAAGGAAGGAAAGGAAGAGTAAAGAATGAATGCAAAGCAGGTTTCAGTAGTTCCTGGAGAGCCCTTTAGGCCTGACTTCTTGAGCTTTTCTGTGACCCAAGAAGGTAACAAGGAATGAGAACCGTCAAGGCTCTCCTCCAAGGCAAAGACGTCCTAGGACTCGCAGGACCTACCATCAGCAAGCTGAAGAGGTAGCTAGCAAATCCTCCTTCTCAAGAGGTAAACCACAGAATGGAGGCCTCAAGCACTAGCTTCCCTCTTTCAAGTCAGACTTAAATTCCTTGGACATTTTCTTTCTCACATAGATATCACACCTTCCAATACAAACACATGTGCACTCATGCACACACATTTACAGAATAACTAAAAACAAGACACTCCCTCACTGCTTTTTAAAGTTTGGAGGCAAATTCTTAGAACTTCTGTGACTTTGACAAGTTATTTACGTGATAAATCTCTCAAGGCTGAAGAAATTGAATGGAAAGTTAAAGGAAGAACCTTGTGAATAGAAGCACTCTGAAATCTTACACGTAAAACAAAAATGTAAAGAAGATAATCAAATCAAATTAACTAGACATTACTCTATTTCTGAAACTCAAAAAGCTCTCTGTGATGCCATTTAGGAAACTTGAAGTCACTGATGTAATGAGACTCTGATATCTCACCTTTCACCCATCCTCTGAATCAACATTGACCTTGTATTTTCTATGGACTTTGGAGTTAGATAGACATGGGTAGAAATCCCAGTTCTGAGTTTTATAGGACTTACTTTATGGCTTTTTTTTAATTTGTTTGTTTGTTTGTTCATTTGTTCGATTCTTTTTATTTCTTCACTGCACAATCGCTTTTACTTCTCATAGATCCCCAGGGAAATATCTGATTTTCTTTGAGACTATTATTCTATCAACTATGACATTAGACATCTAGGGACTTTGGAATTACAATGGCTTGTCTCAAATGTTTTCTAAGGTCTTTTTGTATTACTGTCTACCTTTTCTTTATAGAGATTTATAAAACCATGTCAGAAATTCAAGTGTGGCTCAACTGGCATACCATGTTCAGCAACACAGAAGACTCAATCTTTCTACTTCAGTATCCTATCTAATTGATTTCCATCATCAAGGGGAGGCTTGAGATTAGTGTAAAGAGTTTGAGCCACCGTATCTGTATTATAGGGCAAGAGAACAAAAGGCTCCCTTCAAAAGACCTGCTCAGAAGTTCCAACAATCCTTCCACTTACCTCGTACTTGCTATACCTCAGTTACAAGACCACACATCACTGCAAGAAACAGAATATGTGCCTCATTAAAAAAAAAATGAGGACCTGATATTAAAGAGGAAAAGGAGAATAGATGTTTAGATGAACCACAAATGATCTCCACTACAAGATTGTAACAAAGCGCTGAGTACTACCAAAAGGTGGGCAAGGGCATAGAAGGTCATCCACGGGTGCTCTCCACACTAAACAAGGGTATCCCACCCTGTACATCCATGCCTGTGTGCCTTTCCCATGCTCATCACACTCCTGGAGGCTCATGGCCTTCTTTATCTAGTTGTACTCTTTCCTGGAGATGGAAATAGTATATCTCCAGACAATCTTCTTTATCCATCACTTACCTCCCCACCTGTCAATATCTGTGTATAAAAGGTGTTAAAATGCCTATATTAGCTATACAGGCACTACAACTAAAAGTACTATTATAGGCACTTTTAACTTCTTATAATTAGGTTTTTTCTTATTTACCAGAATATGCACCAGAATAAAAACACATCCTTGTGCTATATTAAGTGTGGAACATTTATGCATTACCATTATTTGTCTTTTTTCTTCATTTGTCTCTCTTGACTATTCATTTTCCATGTTTTTCTTTCTCATTTCTTTGCCTGTTCTTTGGCTCTGTCAGTGGTATTCAAGGTAGGTCACCATTGAGTTCCACTGAGGGTCTATAAAATCAGGATTAGGATATTGACTCTTTTGTATTAATGCTTTCAAGTCTGAATGGGTCTAACAAGTTAACACAGCTCCCAAGTTGTCTTAATCTTAAGAAAGAGAAAATTCTCTAGGTCCTTGACGGCAAGAAATGAAATCACAGCATTCCCCTTAGAGGGTACCATTATAAACAGTATGGAAAAGCCATACTGCTCCCTTACAGGGTATGTGCAGATTCTCTATGAGTGGTGGGAGTGCTCAGGTTATGTTGAGATAGCTTTTCCAACCCGTGCCTTCATCTTCATACCCCCATGATTGGGACAGATCACCAAGAAACTAACAAGACATATGTCAGGAAAGAGTTATTGGAACACAGGCCTCCCTCCTGTACCCCAAAGTCCCTTCTGTCTCTCAGATTCACCTCCTGTATGTGTGCTATAAGAAGTATAAGGGCAGGGATTGTAAATGTATGGATGGCTGACTTCAAACACCCTATGAAGAAAGGCCAAGAAACAGGAAGGAGGAATTCCCTGAGAATGAGACCTAAAGCCGGGGAAGACAAGCCACTTCTTGCAAGGCAATCATCAAAGCTGCACATAAATCTCTAGGCTCATCTCCCTTTTATGTTCTAAATTCTTCAATAAAGATATGTATAAATGTTACTTACTTATGTTGGTGGGTTATATTTTACAAAAGGAGAAATCTCAGGTCAATAATTTGGTGCAGAGTTTAAAGAGGAGACAGTTTTCTCTTCCTCCTCAAAATACTAACTGAAATTATAATTGCTGAGGAGACAAGAGAGGATTTACTTTTCCTAAGAAAAAGGATATTTTCATTATAAGAAAAATAATACTAAAGTTGCTTGATAGAAAACTAACTAGGCTACAATGGAAAACACCTAATGTTTTTAATCCAAACACCTGAGTTTGGACCTCTATTTTTATCACCCATTGAATGTCTCCAAACCAGCCACTTTTCCTTCCTGCACCTCAGTTTCCTTAGCTATAAATGAGAGATAATAGAATTCATTTCAGGATAATGTTATAAATATGAAATGAGGTTTAAATTGTGAATAAAAGTAGCACATATAATCTTAAGAGCATTATATATGTAACATATTTATATACAAATATATATATTAATACCTAATACTAAGGTACTCTCCCCCAAGCATTAAGAGCAATGGGAGAATCAGCTTATGTGAGATCTACTATATATTGTCAAATATAGTTCATTTGGAAAGATAAGACAAAACCACTGGACATGGTCAGCAAAAAACAGCTCTCATTCCAAGAGCCAAGGACTTAATGTGGGGATTCTGCCCATTGCCAAATGTGTCCATTCCATGTATATATTAAGGAATGGAGAAAAAAAAACTACATGAAGTTTCCATGAACCCACAGAACCCTCTAGGAAACAGATTTAAGCCAAAATTTTATTGATCATCAGAAGTTCCCACTTTGACCAATGGATCACAATGTCACTTGGGATCACTAATGTCAATTCAGAGCTAATTCAGCATCTAGTAATTTCCTGAAAAGTCTGACGATTTCCTTCTCCCCAGTGTATAGTAATCCTAGTAAATGGTCAAAGATACCTTTGGGGATGTTTTGTATAAATGTTTACAGATTGTAGTTGCAGCAGTGTTTTATGTTCTTCCTCAAGAAAACCAGCCTCCCCTTTGGTAAAGGAATTCCAGGACTTTGACCTGGATTATACCTGGAAACTAGGTAAGATGCTCAAATTCTCCATTGTAATCAGTCAAATTAAGTTTCTGGCCATCAGACCTAGAGTGTTTCTGTTATACAAAAAGGTTATACTTTAGTAGCTTGCCTCTCTGTTTCATTCCTAAGGACACAGTAATCAATTAGGCTCTGCCAAAGATCCCAGAAGATTGCCCTGTTTACCTCTATGTTCCTGATTTCCATTATAGTAATGATCTCTGGCAGTTTCGAGATACTCCTTGACCACTAACTCTCCACAGTCCCCATGGAAATCAGGGAGCACATATCATTAGCTGCTAATTCTCATGTGTATAAAGGAAGCCATCATAAGGCTCTTCAAAAAGGCTGATGCTTCTATCACTATGTATTTCCCAATTTTTTCCTTAATAAATTGTCTTCTAGGGTCTCTGGAAGGTAATAGTGAGTGTGGGGATTTGGGGAAAAGATGTGCTGCTTGCCTATGACAAATTCATTCTAATGTTCCATCTTATTAAATCTTAGAAGTCACTCACCTACATTGTGCCTCAACCGCACAGAATATAGTCCAATGTTGAGTCAAAGCTTCAGTCAACCAATCAGGTAAACAATTTTCAAAGCCAATTCTAACAAGAGATCGGTTATCTCTGATAAGTACACAAGCATAATCAATTAGGCCTGGTTCCTTTTATATTTTGTCCTCCTTGTTATAACAACCACAGAATCCATTCCCACATATTCCCCCCAGAAGTATGCTGATGTGAATTAATAATGCTTTGCATTTATTTTGGAATATGATCTTTTTTTTTTTCAGGTCAGACAGAGATAATGAAGGACAAAGTCTGGAGGCTGGAGGAAAACCCTTTGCTAGGCACCTGCTCCAGTGAGGTTATCATTGGGTCGTCCACAAAGAGCAAGTTGATCTCACCAGCCCTAGAGGAGGAAGCTGCTTTCTCTAACCAAGGAGGCTTACAGAGACTGGGAGTTCAAGATTCTCAGTTTTGAACCAAACCAAAAAAAAGTCACAGTGTGACTGTGACTTCAGATTGCTGTAATTTGCAATCCACATAACTAAAGGTTTAATTTTTGAGATTGGCCCTATATATGGAAAGAAATTATTTGAAGTCTCTATAAAATTATAGAGTACAAGTGAGTTGAAAATTTAAATTGGTATTATGGTTTTAATCTGGAATGCCATCCAGAGAGAGGTTCGTGTGTTGAAGGCTTGGTCCCCAAAGCAGCAGTATTCAGAAACGGTGCTCTTGGGGGGATGATCAGATCAGAAGGGCTCTGATATCCTCAGTGGATGATTTCACTGGTGGATTAATAGCTTAATGGACTATTTGGAGGTGATGAAAATTGTAGGAGGTGGAAGCTAGTTGAAAGGAGTATGTCCTTGGGATATGCCCTTAGGGAATAAATGTGGTCCACAGTCCCTTTCTTTCTCTCTCCTCACCCCTTCTCTCTGTATGTTCCCCCCCCCATCTCTATCTCTATGTCCCTTATATTCCTGGTTGATATCAGGTGAGATTTCCTCTGCCACAGTCTTTTACTATGACGTGCTGCCTTCCATCAGACCAAAGCAATGAACTAAAGTGAATCATCTGAAACCATAAGCCAAAATAAATATTTTTCTAAACTGATTTTCTCAGGTCTTTTGTCCAGTGATGAAAAACTAACATACCTAGTCTTGTCATTGTCTGTTGTTAATTTTTCCAACAGAGTTGGAAGCAACCACTGAGTACCATAGATCTTGTGGTTATTATTATTATTATTGCCATATTATTTGAGTACAGTAACTACCTGGTCCCCAAGGCATCAGTGCAACAAGCACTTTGTTAGAAACAACTATTGGTGACAATTTATCATGCTAACACTCCATGCTGTGGATGAGAGTACCCGACTGCCATGGGCAAGGAGTTCTACAAGAACTCTGGATTCAAGATTAGGAAAAAAAAAAAAAAAAACACTAAGCCCAGACATTTTCAAGAGGCTTTTTTCTGTGACTTCTTCAGCTACCAACATGATACCAGTCAGGAAAACAAACCTACTAGGTACAACCATGGAAAAATATCAATACAACCAAACAGTTACACAAGTTACTAGAGTGGTGATAAAGCACAAAAAGGAAATGAAGTATCATAGAGCTCATAACTGAAGAAGGCAACGGGGACAAATGGGAAGAAGCTAAGGTTATCAGAACAAGAGGCTTGGAGTGGAAGCCTCAAGAATCTGGAGTTCAAGCTAGGCATGGTGGCACATGCCTATGATCCCAGTGGCTTGGGAGGCTGAGGCAGGAGGATCATGAGTTCAAAGCCATGATCAGTAAAATTGAGGCACTAAGCAACTCGTGTGATTGTGTCTCTAAATAAAATGCCAAAAATAGGGTGGCGGGTGTGTTGATTAAAGGAGTTCAATTCCTAATTTACCCCCCACCCTGCAAATAATAATAATACTAATAATAATCTGGAGCTCATAACAATAAAAACAGGACGTGCTTAGATACAGCTAGCTCCTGGGAGGAAGCTAGGACTCAGGCCTCAGAAGAGAGGGTGCCCAGCTACCAGCACCTCAAGGGTCAAAATGAGGCTGGTTCCCAGCATATTGAAGGAAGCTGAAGATTGGCACTAAATTCCCTCCGGAGCAGAGTGTTCTTGATGGGCAATAGGCTAAGAAGTAAATAAGGGAAACTTATTTCCTCTTGCCTTTCATCTCTTTCTAGAGTCTCCCACTAAAGAGCTTACCAGGAAACCAGATGACAATGGAGAAAGGTTGCCTGAGTCCCAGCCCTGGGTCACGGAGCAGAAAACAGGGGGTTACCTGGAAGTGAAAGGCAATAGCCTCATAACCAATACAAATGTATCTTATTAAAACTGACATCAAAAAGGAAAACCTGTATCTTCTGACCATTAAATAAATTTAAATTTCAGCAGAAGTCAAAAATCATCCTCCAAAGCCACCTACAAACCTGAACTACTTCACTAACAAGTTCTACCAATTATTCAAAGAAGGAATCATTCCAATTATAAACAGTCCCTTCCTAACTCACAACTTGAAGTTAGCATAACCTTTACATCAAACTCCACAGGGATATACTAAAGAAAATTATATGCCATCTCATTCTTGAACATAGATGGAAAAATCCTAAACAAAATCCTAGCTAAATGAATTGAGCAAGATATTTAAAAAGGTAATAAATCTTCTCAAATTGGATTTCCTCCAAGAATATAATGTTGATTAAATGCTAGAAAATCAATTGCTGTAATTCAACACATTAACATATTAAGGAAAACATCATTTGAACATCCCTATATAGATGGGGGAAAGTACTTGATAAAATTAATGACCATTCACAAATTTTTTGAAATACTTTAAGTGCCATGAAAAATAAGTTATTTGCTTAGTATGTTAGTTTACCTACTTAAAAAATTATAACAAATATAGTTATATTGGTAAGCTTTACATTACTATAAGGAAATACCTGAGGCAACTGACTTTATAAAAAGAAAAAGGTTATTTAGCTCATAGTTTTGGAAGTTCAAGTCCAAGATAAGGCAACCCCATTGGTCGGGCCTCTGATAAGGTGGCCTATTATGGCAAGAACACATATGGAGTGAGCAGTACTACTTGAGCCAGGAAGCAAAAAGAGAAAGTTCCAGTCTAAAGTCCCACAATACCCTTTGAAGTAGCACCTCCAATGACAAGGACTTTCCACTAGGCTTTACTTCTTAAAGGTCCATAGCACCTTCCAATATTGCCACAAGGGAGACCAAGCCATTATCATATGTCTTTCAGGGGGTGGGGGGACAACACTACCCATATTCATATCACAGCAATAACATAGTACCTAAGGGTGAAACTGAAAGTTTTACCTTTGAGTTATGAAACAAATAAAAGATTTTTCTAGAGCCATTTCCTTCAATACTGTACTAGAGGTGCCAGCCCACTCAGTAAAACAAAATACAGAAATAAAAGGAGTATTAAATGGAAAAGGAGAAATAATACTGTCATTATACACAAATAATATAATTACATATCCCTGGCATGGTGGCACCCACCTGTAATTCTAGCTATTCAGGAGACCAAGCAGAAGGATCACAAGTTCCAGGCCAGCCTCAGCAAATTAGTAAGACCCTATCTCAAATAAAAAGATTTTTAAAGGAGTGGGGATATAATTCAGTGGTGGAGCCCTTGCTGGAGAGCCTGAGTTCAATCCCCCATACCAAACACACACACACACACACACACACACACACACACACACACACACACAATTACATACATGAAATATCTAGAAGTAGCTACAGATAAATTATCAAAATAAATTTCATACTACTGTAAGAAAGTAGTTTATATTGAATTAATACTCCTACAAATAACATTTATAAAATAATTTTAAATCCACCTATTTGAAGATACTAGAGAACAACAAAAAGCAGTTAGAATCCGGAAGAGAGTTCCAGCATTGAAAAAATGGAACTGCCCTGGGTATGCTTTTTGTCCAAGAATTCTCTATGGTCTCATGATAAAGGACAACTGAAAGTCAAACAAGAAATCTTCCAGCTTTTTGGTTCAAGTAATCAAGAAATAAACTTCCAAAGAAGCTACATTGTAAGAAGAGAAATCCTGGGAAAGAATAAATCCTAATAAAAGCCTCCAAATCTGCACATAATCTCACCCAAAGCCTTACCAACTGCTGTACTGCATATACATGGGAAAGATTCTAGGAAGGTCATTGATAAATAGCAGCTGTAGGCTAAAAGATCTGGGCAAGGATTTAAAATGTTGTCTATTCTGTGGAACACAGTTTGAGTTCAGCCAAGTTAATTACTTGCTTAAGCAAAAACAAACATTCTTCAGAGGAAGATAACAGAATCCAGAGTGTCTACAATTTATCAGCAATGTCTAGTGTATAATAAAAAAGTATTAGACATGAAGGAGGGAAAATGTGACCTAAGTTCAAGAAAAAAAGTGAGGAAAAATGTTGTTACAGAAAGTAACTACTAGATGACCCAGATGTTAGCATTAGTGGAAGTTATGGTTTGGATGTGAGGTGCCCCCAAAAAGCTCACGTGTGAAACACTGCAAGAAGGTTCAGAGGAGAAATGATTGGGTTGTGAGAGTCTTAACCCAATCAGTGAATTAATCCCCTGATAGGGACTAACTGAGTGGTAACTGAAGTGGTAGGGTGTGTCAGGAAGAGGTGAAAACTGGGGTATGGCTTTGGGATATATATTTGTATCTGGCAAGTGGAAAACTCTCTCTCTCTGCTTCCTGATCATCATGTAAGCTGCTTCCCTATGCTACACAATTCTGCCATGATGCCCTGCCTCACCTCAAGCCCAAACAAATGGAACCAGCCTTCTATGAACAAAGACCTCTGAAACCGTAAGCCCTCAAGTAAGCTTTTCTTCCTCTACAGTCATTCTAGTTAGATTAGTCACAGCAGTGAAAAAGCTGACTAAAACAGTGGATAAGAACTTAAAGAAATCATTATAACTATGTTAAAGAACTTTAAGGAAGTCATGTCATAGTGAATAAATAGAAATCTCAGCAGAGAAATGAAAATTATAGACAAGAAATGAAAATCTCAGAATTGAAAAGTACAATATCTAAAGTGGAAAGCTGATTCGATAGCCTTTAGGAGTACATTTTGGAGATAGAAGATTGGGTCAGCAAACTTGTTGATAAATCATTAGAAAGAATCCAATGGGGGGGGAAGAACTTTTAAAAAGGAACAGAGCCTCAATGATATGCAGGACAATATTGAGTACCTTAACATACATATAGTTAGAGTCCCAGAAGGAGAGGAAAGAATGAGGAAGAATTACTATGTATAGCAAATTATGATCAAATTTTTTCAAAAGTCATATGAAAAATACTAACTGTAGATTATCTAAGGAGTTCAGCAAATCATAGGAAGCATAATCACAATGAAAACTACATGTAGACAAAGTTTGATAAAACTGCTGAAGATTAATAAATAAATAATCTTGAAAACACTTAAAGGAAAATAATATATTGCATGCAAAGAAACCAAATATCTCATTAAAGACAGAAGACAATGGAAAGTCATCTTTCGAGATGCAAAAGAAAAGTAAAATTATCACAACACAATTCTATATCAAATGAAAATACTTGTCAAAGATAGTTTAAATTATCGATTCATCTATTGAAGGGCACATAGGTTGGTTCCATAGTTTAGCTATTGTGAATTGAGCTGCTATACACATTGATGTGACTGTATTACTCTAGTATGCTGATTTTCAATCTTTGGGGTTTAAACTGAGGAGTGGGAGAGCTGGGTTGAATGGTGGTTCCAATTCAAGTTTTCTGAGGAATCTCCATCTACTTTCCATAGTGGTTGCATCAATTTGCTGTCCCACCAGTAATGTATCAGTGGACCTTTTTCCCACATCCTCACCAACATTTATTGTTGCCTGTATTCTTAATGATTGCCATTCTGACTGGAGTGAAATGAAATCTTAGAGTAGTTTTGATTTTCATTTCTCTAATTGCTGAATGGATAAAGAAATATATACACATGTATAAAGGAATATTTCTCAGTTTTAAAGAAAAATGAAATTATGGCATTTGTCAGTAAATGGATGGAATTGGAGAATATAATGCTAAGTGAAATAAGCCAATCCCAAAAAACCAAAGCCCAATTGTTTTCTTTGATATGTGGATGCTAATTCACAATAAGAGGGGGGCACTAGGGAAGAATAGAGTTACTTTAGATTAGGTAGAGAGGAGTGAAGGGAGGGGAGGGGATATGAGGATAGGAACAACAGAATTAAACAGACAGTATTACCTTATGCACATATATGACTGCATGACCAATATGATTCTACAACATGTACTATCAGAAAAAATGAGAAATTATACCCCATTTATGTATAATATATCAAAGTGCATAAATGCATTCTACTGTCATTTATAACTAATTAAAACAAATTTTAAAATTTATGAAGTAAATTTAAAATGGTTAGATTTTTTTTAAAAAAACTCCACATGTATGGGCATTTGAGAAATAGTAAAGGTGTCATTTGAAACTAATGAGAAATGGATGGACTGCTCAATAAATGATCTGAGATAACAACATACTTACTTGAAAAAAGCAAATTGGATCCCTAACTCACACCAAAGACAAAAAGCAATTTAGAATGGATTAAAAACCTAAATATGAAAAGCAAAACAATCAGGATTTTCAAAAAGGATTTCAAAAATTAGGATCATGAGTCCCGAACTATTCATTAAGTGCCTTAGGAAACTGCATCAAACTCACAATGGTGCTATGAGTCAGTTTAAATTTTTGAGGAAAACACACAGCTATTTGGCAGCTGTCAGACATTGCATAAATGACTAGTTCTAGATAGTTCCAACATTAAATCAAGTCATAGCTCTTTCAATGGCATCGTATCTTTGCAAAACTGGATTTTCATCCATTGCTGTAATAAAAAGCAAATATTCCAGAAAAATCAAAACAAAACAGGAAAAAGTAGTAGTCATAACCAATCTCACTGCAAAGTTTGAGAAGTTATGCAGTGCACACAAGTGTGTACATCCCCTTCAGAAGTAACTGCGATTAATTATGGGTGGAAAATACACTATTTTTTCTTTCAATATACATGAGTTATTTTTTTAAATGACTATCAAGTTGTTAGAAAACAAATGCTTATTAAGTTGTTTGGAACTAACTACCTAATAAGTGGAAGTGTTGGGTTCTTTTTTAAATTTTTTTATTTACTTTAATTAGTAATACATGACAGTAGAAGGCACTTTGATACATCATATATAACAGAGTATAATTTCTGATT